ATGTGTATGAGTATATTGCCTGCATGCATGTGAGTGCACCCGTGTCATGCAGTGCCTCAAAGGTCAGAAAAGGGCTTCGGATTCCTCTGGAACTGGAGTTAAGGACAGTTTGTAGCCACCATGTGGGTGCTGGGAATCGAACCCGGGTCCTCTGCAAGAGCAGTCAGTGCTCTTAACCACTGAGCCATCTCTCCAGAAACTTCCATAGAAGTTTCTTAAATGTTACTCAAAAACAAGTTGTGGGTCTGGAAAGATGGCTCAGTGATTAAGAACACTAGCTGTTCTTCCATAGGACCCAGGTTCAATTCCCAGCACCCACATGGCAACTAACACCTGTCTATAACTCCAGTTCCAGGGGATCTGATGCCCTCTTCTGGCCTTCCTAGGCTTTCTACAACATGGTTACAATTACACGCATATAGGCAATACACTCATACACATAAAATTAAAATAATAAAATATTTTTTAAAAAGAGATTGAGCTTCCATAAACCAGAAACGATCATTGCTGTTTCCAAGTATGTGCATAGTGCTGAGTTGTACCTGCTGCCTTCTCTGATTGGTAGCACAGCAGGCTTGTGCACATCAGCATCACCACAGACCTGCGTGGTAGCTGTGCTGTGGCATGATGGGCAGGCATCATTGGGCGATGGGGATTTCTTGGCTCCATCATGATCTTTGCATGCTAGGCAAGCGCTCTACCCCTGAGCCTCACCCCATCTGCCATAACAATCTTAATGGAACCACTACATATCTACAGTCCCTTGCTGGCTGAAATGTCACTGTATGGTGACTCTAGAGTCAGGCTGTAAGGGCCAGGTGCTAAACCCTAGGTCTGTTCTTCCCAGACCACCCATACCTGGAGCCCCGGCACTTTGTGGATGAGAAGGCGGTGAATGAGAACCACAAAGACTACATGTTCCTGGAGTGCATCCTGTTCATCACGGAGGTGAGGGATGGGCATGGGCAGAGGCTGTGGGGGCACCAGCTGTGGGTGTTGGAAAGGATGTCCCCCTAGGCCTCTCCTGGAAGGGTTAGCCAGCGTCTGACTGGCCAGGATCTCTTTGCCTAAATGGTGGGTTTCTCCTGGAGCCCACAGGATGCTTGTGGGCCTTGGTTTGTTTAGTTGGGCCTCACTGTTGGCCTCTGGTTCTCAGCACTCTTCCTGCCTCAGCCTCCTGAGTGCTCAGGACTACAGACAGATACCCCCACACTCAGCCCCCACAGGGGTGTTGAGCTGAGGAACTAAACCGTAGTCGCTAGCTAGTCTTGGTGACTGGCAGCAGGCCTGTAAGGGTGGCACTGTGGTGGGGGAGGGCCAGCATCTCCCATGGGGCTGTGGATGCTCAGGCAAAAATCCCTGGAGGAGCTGGAGTGACTGGGGCAGAGTGCTCTTTGCTGAAGAGCAAAGTGGACGCAGCCCAGCCAGAGGCTTTCGTCTCACTAAGGTGGGGTTCCCTAGACCATGCATCAAGTTCACCTGAGGACTGAAATGCATGGCCCTGGGCTGGCCCCAGATCGCTGACAGAATCTTGTGGACCTGAGCCAGGAGCTGTGTCTAGGCACACAAAGAGACCTACGCTCCAGGACCTTGCTTCCAGGAGATGTGACTTTTCATTCTTTCTACCCTGCACCCATAAACTCTCCACCCCAGATTTACAGAGACACCTTAGCTCTGTTCTCTGGAGCTTGACCTGTCTCCCTTCTTTTCCCATGCCCGCCTGCATGTCTGCTCTGTGGAAGGCCATGTGGACTACTGCCCATGGGGATTGCTCTCTTGGCTGCCTGTTCCGAGCCCCCTAAGAGGGGAGAAATCTGGTTAGCAGCCTTGGCTCCAAGCTCCCCTGGTCAGTATTCGGCTCAGGCTCCTGCCAAGCTCCAGGGGCCAGAGGGGAATGACACATTTTTTCCAAGTCAGCAAATGGAGCGAGGACTGACGGCTGGGCGGCCACTGCTTCATTCTTAGAGATCTGCTGCCTTCAGCAGGGTAGGGCTCAAGGTTGGAAGGACTTGGGGGGAGCCTGGCTCACTGCCTTGAAAGCTGGCCTCCCTTCAGAGTGGAATGAGGGGCTGTGGAGCTTGGGGAGGCCCTAGGAAGAGATGGAAGGGCAGGGTAGGAAGGAGCCTGCAGATTCTGCGAAGCTTGCTGCTGGAGATGGCACTGTTTTGCTCCCCCTGGCGGCTAGCCAAGCCCCCTGCGCCCTGTCAATAATTCTAACAAGGAGCCAGGCTGGGCTTCTGGGACTGGGAATGGATTCCATGCTAAGACAGCATATTGGTTTGTGTTGGTATAAAACCCCCAAAACTTTCCCAAAGTTTGGGACCCAGGTTCTCTGCTAGGAGATAGCCCAGAGTAACCACGAGGTGGCACTGAAGGCATGTTGAACTCCAGGTTTTTGTATCATCTGGAAGTTGGAACTGGGGAGGGCCTGGAGTAGCTTTCCGCCAGTCTGCACCCTCACTGCAAGGCCTGGTTTCCGCTTGGGCTCCAGGCTGTAGGCGTGGGGCTGAGCATAGTTGCTAGGGGCTGCTGTGGCAAGGGCCCTTGTGCCTTGGGAGGCCAGTGGCTGTTGTGCAGAGCAGTGGGCAGAGTTCTACAAACTCACTGACCAGTGAGTGGCCTGACTTGGCTCACCCAGCCCCAGGGGTCAGAAACAGGGAGGCCTGCTTGGAGTTCTGTGCTCTTTGGTTAGAAAGCTGGCCATATTGCCTCTGGAGCCCTGGAAGTCCCTAAGGGCTGGTGCAGCTGGGATGGAACCTGACCCTGACATCGGGGAAGGGCACTGAGCCCTCTCCAGCCAGGTCTTGGATCAGGACTGCCCTGGTAGCCCTGGCCAAACATCCCAGACAAGGAAGCCCACCTTGCAGGGCTCCTATGGCTTCAGGAAATGCAGCCCTGGCGCCTTTAAGAGGCCAGGGCAGGCAGAAAAAGAATTTCAGTTTCAATCTGGCTTCTAAATTTGGAGTTTTGGGAAGGGAGGGATCAGATTTCAGCTGGAAGGGAAGGAGCTGACAGGAAGGCGCTGTGCAGAGCCTCCCCCCCCCATCCCCCTCGGTTACTGACAGAGGAACCATTTACAAAAGGCCGATTCTCTGGGGAGTGGAGAGGCAGGAACGCAGGGTCTGTGAGTAATTTCCTGCTCAATATGGCTGCTCTGACTCACACGATTCCCCTGGGGTCACTGCGGGCCTGCAGCTCGCTAGTTCTCGCTCTTTCTCTTCTCCCTTTGTGGCTAGAATGAGCTAATTTTTTTGTCTTCTCACTCTGGATTCCATTTTTTCCCCTGAAGTTGCAGTCTCCTGCACGATTTAGGAAGCAGGCCCTAAGGCCTGGGGGATGGGGTGGCCCCTGCACTGGGCAGGCCTTGGAGGGTGTGTCCTCTATGTTGGTGGGCGCGGCTGGGCCTGGAGGCAGCCCTAGCCCCCTTTCCTTTCTGAGCAGGCCCTGCAGCACCTGCTGTGGGACGGGTAGCAGGGTGATTTGGCGCAGGGTGATTTGCTCGAGGCCTCATCTGGAGGGTGACCCTGTGCCTCTGCTCCAGTGATCCCTAATCCTTTGGCCTACCAGTGTAGACTATGGGGCTGAGCCAGAGCCTGGGAAGAGGGTGGGTGAGCAGAGAGGCAGGGGGCTGAGTCTGAGGAGGGCCTTGTAGACCTGGGCCCTCCCGTGAGTCAGTGAAAGGAAGGCCTAACTAAAGCCTGCCAGGGAGCAGGGCCCGCATTGGGAGCCTGGTGTCCTCATTAGTGGGGAGCAGACCTCGGAGACAGGCTCGCTCTGAGGACTTGGGCCTTGGGCTGGCATTCTGATAGAAATCAGTGGCCTTTAGTGGAGAAGAGGCCTGTGGGAGTGGGCTGCTGGGTGGGGCAGCACTACCAGGGAGGGGCCTGTGATGTTCTACTTTACAGGGCTTGGGCTTACCTTTTCTACCTGGAATAGCCCCTCACCTCACCCCTGTCCTCATGCACAGCTTCTTCTGGAACTTTCCACCCACTCAGGGTCCAAGTCTCTGCTTCCTTGCCAGACTCAGCTGCTTTGCTTTTTGGAGCCTTTCTCTAGCCTGGGGCTGGGTGCTAAGCCCTGCTCTCCAGCATAAATGCCCCTGTGCTCTAGGGAGGGAGGGGGAGGGCGGTGAGCCTCCTGGTTAATAAATACAAATGTGCTGGCCCCGCTAAGCTGGAGGAATACACTCAGGACACAGGCTTCCCTTTCCCGGTGCTGTGGTTTCTGATGTCATGGGAACTGCACTGGGCTTGCTACAGAATGTTTCTCTTCCTTCCTGGAGGGCCAGACTCTTGAGCAAGAGGAGGGACAGCAGTGGACTGGCCATCTCCTGCTGCTTTTATTTCTGTAGTTATCTGCCCTCCTCTAGGACGGCTCTTGTGTCCCTGTCTCTTGTCGCCATGCTTTTTTCTTTTCTCTGCAGCCTGGCCAGACCCACCAGGGCCTCCCACAGCCCATCTCCTGCCCTCCTAGCTGTACGTGGTAGGCACAGACTAAGTACCCCAAAGGGTGGAGAAGGGAGTCCTGGCTGCTGTCTGAATAGGAACACATCCCACGGAACCAGGGTGGAGATTTTATTTTCCTGTGGCTGCTAAATTTGATGGGTTTTAGGAATTGAGCCCCTGTTTTATCTGTAGGGCAGAGAGGTAGGCAGGGGATACAGATGAAAGTGATTCTATTTGTAGCAGGTCTTGAAGGTCAAGTTCCACCCCCACATCTCCACATCTCTGTCACTTTGTGTGTGTGTGTGTGTGTGTGTGTGTGTGTGTGTGTGTGTGTGTGTGTTTTGTGTCCATGCTGCAGGAGAGAGGGGGTAGACCTCCGGGTGGCCCCTGCCTCTCCAGCTCCTGGACTTTCTTTTCTAGATGAAGACCGGCCCGTTTGCAGAGCATTCCAACCAGCTGTGGAACATCAGTGCTGTCCCCTCCTGGTCCAAAGTGAACCAGGGCCTCATACGCATGTATAAGGCAGAGGTGAGTGGGGTCTGGCCCCGTGTCTGTCCCTGCTGTCACTTGGTCCTGGGGATGGGTTCAGGGCTGCTGATTCCCCACCATACTACTTTGCTCTGGCTCTTAGGCCAGCCCTCTGACTCTTGGGAACTCAGAATCTGATGGATAGGCAGTCATAAGGCCCAACTCTGCCCTAGTAGCTCAAGTGATTGAAGCAGACCATGCTGCAGGAGAAGTTGTGGGCTTTCCTATCCCCCAGATGGTCTGAGGCATCAAAGTTAGGCAGCCTCCTGTCTCAAAGTGACCAAGGTGCCCTCGGGTGTGGGTGTGATCCTAGAGCCAGGTACACAGTGGGCTGTCACACCCTGGAGGGTGCTGCTAGGAGGGAGGAACCTGGGCGTGGGTTGGGCACAGGCACTTCTCATGACCACTTCATGTGGTTGTGAAGGATGCAGATAGTCTTCCCTGCTGCGGGCTCACAAGTCAGCAGCCCTAGGGACCTTGGATCCAGGAGCTCCCCCTGCTGGGAGGTTCCTACCTTTCCCGGGGTTTTCTGCACTTTGTCCTTGACATGGCCCTCCCAGCTAGGAAGTAGTAGACTTTTTCTCTTACAGAAAAGGAGCGGACACCTTGTCTCTTCCCTAGCCCTTCCCACAGCTTGAGCACACTAATTCTGGAACTACTTGACTTTGACCTCTGTGTGCAGTACCTCCTGGAGACATGAGTCCCCAAACCATGTCCCCCACTTGCTAGTTAGTAGCCTCAGGTATTGGCCTGTGGCTGCCCATCCCTGGTTTTTTATCATTCCCGCTCTTTTAAGAGGAGCTGTGCTTCCCTGGATCCAGCGCCTATTCCATCCATTGGCAGGACAGCAGGGACTGGGGTGAGAGGGCCCTGAGGAAGGTTCTGGTAGTACAGCACTTCCTGTTCACGTGGTTCCCTTGGCATGGTGCCGAAGGGGTTAACAGTTCATGAAGTGACCAGGTCCTGCCTCTCCTTCCGCCCTCCTCTCTGGATCCTGTTCCTCTGGGCTCCACATCCTGTGTTTAGGCTCCAGCCCACATAGCTCTCTAATCTGAGAGGACATTCCTAGGCTGGCCAGGCTCCTTCCCGCTTTGTACTTCAGCTCCTGTGCCTGGGCACTGCCTTTGGTCCTGACTTCCACGACCTTGATCTGCTGACCCCGCAGTGGTGATAGAGAAGACTCTCGCCCTGCTGGGTTCTCCCCACTATTGGGGGGCTGATAGAGGACTGTAAAGCTCCCCCAACTCCATGTCAGATTCAGGGACCTAGTTATCTCCTTGCTTGGAATCCTAAATGCTGTCCTTCTGTGTCTCCAAACCTGTTTGGATCCAGGCTCCCGAGGGCAAGGCCAGCAACCTTGTGCCCCTTCTAGAGACAGGTCACCTGCGGGCAGACAAGCTTAAAGGAGGTGCAGAACATAGACCTTGGCAGTCTTGGCCTAAAGGTGGTTGGTTGCTAGGTATTTCTGTGGTTGTTTACCACAAGGAAAATGTGATAGAAGACTTCGGTTCTGGGGCCCACAAGAGGATGGGAGCTGACTACGGCCCTGCCTCAGACCCCATATGCCAGGTTGGACTCAGAGGGTAATGCTGGACTTGCTGTCTATAGTTTTAAGAACTGTAAGTCGAGTCTGGTGTGGTGGTGTAGCCTTTAATCCCAGCACTTAACCAGTATCTGGTCCCTGTAGGGAAGGGGGGATGGGGGGAGGGGGGCTGTAAGTCCATGCCTCTCTGGAGGGCTCGGGAAACCACTTATTTTTCCAGCCCAGCTCTCAGTCCATAGAGTCCAGTGAGGCTTATCAGTCTTGTAGGTACAGGACCAGGGTACCCTAAGCTGCCACAGGGGCCTGATCAGGCCTGTTCCTAGGTAGCCTCAAGATACACAACTAACTGTCTCCGAAGTGCCTAGCCTGGCTTTTCAAAGAGAAGCCCCAGGGACTTTCTGGACCTTGGGTGGTAGGGGGCTTTCTGTCCTGAAGGCTGTCACCACACCTGGAGAGCCCTACCTCTTCCTGAATATAGACTACCAGGCTTGGACTGGTGCTGGAGGGTCAGGCCACAGGCTGGACAGTCTTGGTGGGAAAAAACTTCCAGATGCTTCTCCTGCCCCAGGGCCCTGGGTTTCCTCCACCCCAGCAGCCTTTTTCCAGGGCATATTCTGCCTGTTCTGTGGGCAGAACTGGGGGACAGCCTCTGCCCTTTCCCCCACTTGCCTTTGTGGCTTTTCTTGTTTTGAGAGCTTAAGGTGGGTTGACCTTTGACCCTTTCTGGAATTCCAGGGCTCTGGGGTGTCGGGGGTGCTTTCCACACTCCCACCACTTCCTGATGACATGAGCACCATGGCAGCCTTGCTCAGGGCCTGGACATGCTGCTCCTCCCCCAGGGTACCCCCAGCTGTCTGCCTCCGACTGCTCCCCATCTGAGCTTAACCTTTTACTTTATGCCCTTATGCTTGTTTCCGAAGCTGGTTCTTAGGTAAGGGAAGGTAGGCCATTTAGCTTATTCCTCTGACCACAGCTAGAACGAGGCCCTCCCCTGGAGGCTTTAAGTCCTGTCTGGTCCCCCCTCTCCCAGCCAGTAGATCCCCAGCACCCTGGATGTTTCTGAGGCCAAAGGTATAGGAGGAGGCCCAAGCCAACGTGGCGGATTCCATCCTCACATCCTGGCTGGACCTGCAGCCTGGGAGGGTGAGCGTGAGCCCATGACAGCCCTGTGGCAGGCCAGGCAGGGTGGTGCTAGGCTGTGGGCCTGGCCTCAGGCTGCCTGTGAACCTCTGCTGCACTAGGTCACCTCCGCTTTTGAGGTGGGTCCTGTGGTCTCCACCTCTTTACAGGGCTGTACCATACTCAGGTAGTCCATGTTGCCCTGCTTACCCTCAGTGCTCTTGCCCTGACCCCCCCCGCCCCAGGGGCTGCTCTGACTGGGCCACTTTTTGAGCACTGGATGGATACCCCTTTGAAGTGGCTCCAGTTTGAGCCCTCATTTTGTCGGTGTTCCCTGGGGTGCAAGAGGCTGGGGAGGCCTTGGCAGGGTGCAGTCCAGGCCTTACCTTCCTGGTCTCCCTTCTTCCTCAGTGCCTGGAGAAATTCCCTGTGATCCAGCACTTCAAGTTCGGGAGCCTGCTGCCCATCCATCCGGTCACATCGGGCTAGGAGAGGCCGAGCCACCAGAGCTACCCTGGCCAGGTTCCTGTGCCCTCTCTGACCCGATACCCTTCCCACTCTCCCTCTGTTCTTTCTATTTGATGAGAGGCTGTTTACTGGGGTGGGGTGGCGAGCAGAGCCTGAGGAAGGCCTGGAGCCAAAGGCACATGAGCCTGAGTTGGGAGAAGTGACCAGTTTCTGACTGCCCCTCTGCTAGGCGGGCAAGAAGAGGGGCTGGGACCTGGTCCTGGCCCTGTCCTGGGTTCCTGGCCTCCTGGCCTGCCTTCTCTCTGCCCAGTCCCAGGCTGAGACTAGGGCATCTTGCTCTTTCATTGCTTTCCCTTGCTAAGAGTGTGAGTTGCTGTTCCTCCAGGGGTAGGTCAGTTTCCCAAGCCATGCTCCCCTGGGTGTCTGCTGTGGGGCTGGAGGTTGAGGCTGGTGGCAGCTGTGGGGAGGGTGGGTGGGATTCATGGTGGAGGGCTGTGACTGTTGGGGCTGGCCTTCTCGAGGTGGCCTCCTGGGCCTGGCACAGACCCTCATTCAGGTTTTTGTTCTCTGGCCCTTGGCTTTGCCAGGTTTCCTGGCCATTGCTGAAACCTCCCCACTTCCCAGGAGTAGCCTGGTTATGGAAGCTGCCTGGGTTCTTGGGAAAGCCTGCCTGACTGGGCGAGGCCTGTCTTTCCAGAATTGCCTCTGGAGGGAGAGGGTGGCCGAGACTCAGGGAAGGCCGGAGCTGTTGTGTTGGTGCAGAGCCGGGGTTCTTCCAGGTGGTCTTTGGCCTGCTGCTTCTGCTACCTCCTTGATGCTTTGAGCAGCCTTGAGTTTCACCTGAGGCCCTTGGCTTGCTGCTCTGCTCCCTTGGGCAGGTTTGTGGCTGGTGTAGAAGGGCAGGGCAAGCAGCAGCCCTTCCCAGCCTGGGCACTTACTCTGGGCATGGGCAGGGCTGCTGAAGAGTTCTTGGCCACAGCTCACCAGTTTCCTCCAGTGCTGTGGCTGAGCTGGTACCCATAGGCTCCCTTGCCCTACTCAGGCCTGCCCTTCTCCACGGCCCTTCCTTGTATCTGGGTCTACAGAGCCATTGAGGAGTGGCCACCGAGAAGCACAATCCAGTGACTTGGCTGGGGATGGGCGATGGTCTGGACAGAGCTGGGACTAGAGTCATCAGAGTCACAGAGTTTCCCAGGGGAGGCCCAGCGCCAGCCTCCCTCCCAGGGCCAAGTCATTATCGCCTTCCTGGCCCCTCCTGTGTCCCTGGGCCCCCAGCCCTGACCTTCCTTGCTGTTCGGATTAAAGCCTCTGTTTTACACCTGTCACCTGTGTGAGACATCTTTTCCTGACTTGTCTGAAGGACTGTTCCCCAGCAGGTCCCCCTTGGGTTGACTTTCCTGGGAGTGGAATGTATGACAGGGACTAGAGGAGGCACATGGGTTCAAATCACCAGTAGTGGCACAGTTGTGGGTAGGCTGCCAAATCTCAGAATTCCAGCGTCCTCCTCTAGAAGATGGGCACAATTGTAAAGTGGCTGCAGGTGACTGTGAGTCCTTGGTCCACCCCGGAGTACATGCTGTACTGTCACAGACTCTGTGTGCCTCATGTGCTTATTGGACATGGAACTTGGGTCCTGGCACATGCTGAGCATGAAACACATGTCAGTCTACTGCAGCTGCCCTTGATGGATGCAGCTCCTCTGGACTCCTGTCAGCCCGTGCTGGGGCTGACTTGGAAGCGTGCAGCCATGGTTTTAGGGGTGGGCTCCACCTTGCACTCCATTATGGTAAGCCTTGCTGGATGGTGGGACTTCTTAGATGCTAGATGCTCCTGATAGCAGAAGCTTCACCCTTTCTTCTGGCCTTGGAGGCCTCACGCGGAAGTGGGAAGGGGAGCCCCGGCCACTGGTCGCCTTGCCCTTCCTCTGGACATTCCTGGTTGCCCAAAGCCTTGTCTCTGGAGTCAAGCCAGCTGTCTATAGCTGGAAGTCCTTGAACGTTGACTCTGAGCCTCGGTTTCTTGACTGAAACTAGGTCTAGAGGCATATTCGTTTCTCAAGCAGTGGCTGTCTATTTTTGACCACAACATCAGAAAATAGCAGTGCTATATAGTAGTATGTAATTATGAAATTAATGGGGGGGGGGCTCTGCTTTTTGAGCTACACACAGGTGTACATGTATGTCTAGCCTTCTGGTATTGTGACATGATGTCGCCTACAGAGTTCATGCCTGACAGCTGTGTAATCGAGTTTTTAAAAAATATTTCATTTTTTTGAGATAGGGTCTCATGTATCCCAGGCTGGCCTCAGACTTGCTATGTAGCCAAGGATGACCTTACACTCCTGATCCTCATATCTCTATAACCGGAGTGCCAGAATTATAGGCATACACCACCGTCCCATTTTTGTGGTACAGGGGGAGATCAAACCCAGGGCTCTGCGCATGCTACTTAAAGCACTGCACCAACTGAGCCACATATCCGGCCAGAGCCTCAATATTTTAAGTAAGTTTATTGTTGGATATGCCTGACAGGTTTGGGATACCCCTTGAAGAAGTGGAGGTGTGGGACCTCAGAGGAGTGTAACCAGGGAGTTGCTGCAGGTCCTGGGCAGCACAAAGCCAGGACCTAGGAGGTGGGGGAGATCCTACACTTAGCCAAGGCGCTTAAGGGTCAGTTTCAGTTTGGTGACAGAATCCTGGGGCCAGGTAAGTGGAGACACAGTCCGTTTCAGGGGCTGTAGCTACGTTTGGCACAAGGATGGTGATGGGCGAGGTGAATAGGCAGATGGTGAGGGGTGAGTAGTTTAGGTACCTGGAACTGTCACCAACAGGAAGGAAGATGGGAGGGGACATGGCAGGCAAAAAGACTCCCTGTTCTTGGCTAGCATAGGTTGATGATGCTGATGAGGAAGAGGGAAAGTGATTTGTTATTGTGGTGCCATTCACTTTCTAAGAGTGGGAAGGAGGCAGCACTGGCCAGCACTAGCTGAGGTGGTCATGGAGTGGTCATCACAGAAAGGATACTGCCATCAGGTACTTGCCAAATGTGAGGAGAGGAAACCCTCAGGGCAGAGTCCTGGTCTTGACCTTTGCAGAGGCCTGCTTCCCTGGAGTAAAGGGAAATATAGGGAGTGGGTGCTGGGGAGTGGGAGCCATGAGCTCGGCCTGGGAAACAGCCACTGGGCCCTGCGCACTGCCTCACACCCAACACAGTGACTCACCAGAATGGTCTGAAGTCTCTGAAACAGGTTAACCCTTAGCCCGGCCCCCAGAGTAGGGAAACGGGCCACTGGACATGTTTCCCACGCTGCTCTGCACCTCACAACCTTCTCTTTAGGACAGAAGAACCTTCAAGTAGGAGAGGCTTTGGAAGGTGAGCCATGCTGCTTTCTGTGGTATGCGGGACGGGTCTAGAGATGGGACATAGGTAGTGACAGTGGTCAGAGGGGAGATGAAGGCTGGAGCCCTTGAGAACAAGGGCAGCCCTTCCTAGGCAGCCAGTGGGCACTTGCCCTGTCCTACAAGAGGGTGCTGGACTGGTAGACTGTACAGATTTCCCTGGGCAAGGACATGGGAGGCAAGGCCATCAGCTGCCCTGGGGGCAGAGGGGTAGTAGAGGTATCTGAGAGGGGCAGCAGGGGAGTTGAGGGCATTGGCAGGAGGGAGGCACATTCAGGCCTTGGAGATAGGTGTAGGGGAATTTGCACTGCCAGCCCATGCTGTGTCCATGAAGGATGGCTGGCTGCTCTGCTCCAGGTCTGAGGGAGCCCTCAGGGGAGGGGGTGGGTGCCTCTGCCGACCATCCTGGGCCAGATGAACTTTGAGAACAAACCATCCTAAACAGCATGTATGAGAGTGATGCTGTGTGTCTATGTGTCTGTGCTGGCCCTGTTGCTCCTGGAGGTGAGAGGGAAAGGCCATTCCTAGAAGGAAAACTTGGCAGAGAGGGGATTCAAAGGAAAACACTGAGGGCTTGTTGGCCTCTAGGATAAGTTAGGCATTTTTCTTGAGTCCAGCCAGCGTCAAGGCATTTCAAAATACATTTAGGGGGATGTGGAGATGAGAGTTTCGTGCCTTCAGGAAACTTACAAGTTGGGAAACATGGTGGACCAGCCATGGAAGAAGACAACTGATGGTGCAGGCGCCTGGGCTCCAGGGCTTCCTCAGGGAAGGCCCAGAACAGTGGGCACAGACCAAGGTCATCAGGTGGAGCCCATGACTGCAGAGATGTGTATGGCAGGAGACAGCTATGGAGCTGAGTGGTTGTGGCCACCTGGAGTTTGAGCCAGGCTTGGGGACACCCATGGCATTCTGCACATCACCTTGACTCAATCCAACTGCCCTGTAGCTTTCTGCACATTGCTTGGTGTCTGCTAGGCAGGCCACAAGAGAGCAATGACCGTAGTGCCGAAAGAGCCTAATGTAGCAGGCCCCAGTCTGTAAACTGGTTCAGAGGAAAAGTGGGGAGCTGGGAGGCCAGGGAAGATACTTGGGAGGGGCACCTCTGTGGGTGTGTGAGAGCATTTGAGGGACCTGGGTGGGTTGCTGGCCCGGAGGCTGGTGGGCCTGGTGGGCCAGGTGCCTTGGCATTGGTACTTGTGTGGCCAGAGAGGCCTTGGGCTGCTGGGAAGCCGGAGCTGGAGGGATGAGGTGCTGAGGAGGAGGGAGGGGTTCTCAGTGTGTCTGGGAGAACCTAGGGAAAGGAGCAAGTTAGGAGTAGGGAGAGGGGGAGATACTGTGCTCAGCCAGGGGTGCTGAGTTTGAAAGGCCCTACCAGGCAGCATGTTGGGCCTGGCTGAGAGGCTAGCAGGGCTGCCAAGATCCCTCTGGGTGCAAAGAACCAGGCCACAGAGCCCCTTGCCTTCCCTCCTGCCCTTTGGCTTCCGGCCACACTAGCCTCTCAAACTCTGGTCACGGATCCATTTGATTATGTCCTAAGTCCTTTGCCCCAGTGGGGGGCCCCTGGTTGTTGAGGGCTCCTATGTTATCGCACTTGATTCAAAGGCCTCACCTGGCCCTCCTGACTAGGCTGCCTCTCTTGCTCTAACCACTGGGCACACTAGACTTTGGGGCTGTGCTTACACGTCCCAGCCATAAGCTTCACTCACTGAGGGAGAGGCAGCCACGTGCTTCACCTTGACGAGAGGGTTGCTTTGCCCTCTGGTTGCAACTTTTGCTTCATGGACCTGTGTGAGTGTATGCGTGTGTGCGTGCGTGCGTGTTAGGCTGAGGTTCGCTTCTTACTCAGCACCACTGCTGCTCCTGGGGGTCAGGTAGCCCATGTGTTTGGTGTCCTGCTCTCCCTAGGCCGCTGTCCTGCACCGCAGGTGCTTGGCTCATAGCTGGGAATGACCGGGTTAGTCAGCCCCCTTCTTGCCCAGGGATGATGGGGAGGCAGGAGAGGGTGAGGTGGCCCCGATTCCAGAGGGGAGAAGTCAGGCTAGGCATCCAGGCTCCAGCAGGCGAAGAGAGAGGCTGAGCCAGTGGCCACAGCTGTCCAGAGGAGGCCCGCAGCTGTGGGCTGGGGAGAAGAGAGAACAGAAAGAAGGGGAGGACAGATCTGGCTGTTTGTAGGCTAAGGACCAGCAGCGGAGGTGTGGGCCAGCCACGCACTAGGCCAGCCCTGCAGCCACCCTGAGTTTCACTGCTCCTAAACGTGGGTGGGGCCTTCTGCTCAACCCTGTGCAGGCAGCTCGGATGCTGCCCTGAACAGGCCAGACAGGGCCCGCCTTTGCTCTAGTGACTTTTCCTAAGAAAATGCTGGGGCTTGTTAGAGGCCATTGGAGCAGTCACAGTGGCTGTCAGATGACACACTTGGGGGCTTGTTCTTCTGGAAAGATGCTTATGGCCTGTTGAGTAGAGGAAGTGGCCACGGAGATGGAACACAGCACATTCCCTTGCAGAAAAACAGGCCTGAGCCGGGAGTGGTGGTGCACACCTTTAATCTGGCACCCAGGAGGCAGAGGCAGGTCACCGAGTTCAAGGTCAGCCTGGTGTACATAGAGAGTTCAGGCCGGCCAGGGCTACACTAGAAAAGCAGGTCTGCACTCTTGGCACTGTCCATCTACGTGGACTAGGTAGTCGTGTGCTTACCCCACCTGTGGGGCTCGGGGGTTGGAAGCCTCTGGCTTCCTCAGCTTTCAGTTATGGTCATGAAAATGTTAAACATCGCTGAACCCCGAGAACTCATTGTGGGTGTTGGCTTTGCTTTCCGTTTTGTGCTTTGGGTTTTAAAGTCTCCACAACGCTCACATACTACCTTTGTACTGACACAGAGAAAGGGAACGGATTAGAAACCTGTTCCGCTGAAGAGCCCTGGTGAGTGA